CAGCAATCAACCTTGTGACTGGATTCAGGAGACACTACTACTAAGCGTGCTAATCAGTAGCATTTAAAGAGAGGACGCAAGTTACCATTCATTTCAAAATCGTCCACAAAGCAGTTAGGGTTTCCTTCGCTTTGAATGCCAGGCATATCCGGCAACTCGGATAGTGGGGCCGAAAGGTTGAAGTGTCACCAACCGAATTGACAAAAGCTACAGTTTACATCCCACTAGGGCTGCTGAGAGCTAGACCGGGCTGAGACTACAATCTTACCGGCTTATGACAACTTTTTGAGATACATGCTAATGAGAAATCGGATATTCTCCTTAAGCTATCGTGGATATACTCGCTATCAGTTCCATTTTTTTTCAGGATGCGCCTTTTCAAATTGTGCTATAGAATAAAATAAATAGTGAACATAAAGATGTGTCTCCAGAGGCAAGCAGGTTACCACCTCAGCCAAACTTTCCTGGCCTGATGGGATTACACGAAAGGCATGACTTTTAAAGCACAGAAATCCTGTCTCAACTCAAAAAATTTTATTCAATATTTCTATAACGAATTGTATTATTGATAGTGGCTTTTTTGAAGTTATTGCTGTCTATTTTTTGCTCATAAGTAGGGTTTCGATGCTACCAGTAAATCAGTTATCTGAGATGTATTCACCCTATTTCATTTAAGGTGATGGAAGTCTGGTAGATGAATTTTTTCAAAATCGTATGAGTATAAATGATGATGTTTACATTCATTTTCACATAGCCTTGTTTGCCAAAAGGTCTTCTCATCAAAGGTGCACATCAATGAGAACAGCTTTTAGGAAAGCAAGGCTATGTGAAATTCAATGGAAACATTAGTTCTACTCATATGATTGTGGGAAAATTCAACTTCCAATCCTTCATCATCTTAAACGAAATACGATGAATGCTTCTCCTATTATTGCCTATTGTTGTTGAGCTATTCCGAATTCGATCAACTTCTTGTTGGACAGACGGATAGTTTGCCCATTAGAAACGGAAGAGCAGGGTTGATTTTGCACTTAGTTTCACTTTGTTTGGCATCCCAAAAGCCTCATCTTCCCATCATTAACCCCAACGGGATTCAAACTTTTACGTGACTTTTAAGCCAATTCATGCCTTCCTTGTGTCAAAATGCCATTCGATTCGTTATGCTACTGAATTTGTTGTCAGTAACTGTATGTTTTTACCTCTAAACTGGAGCATGATAATCGTGGTTAAGCATCTAATAGGGGGGATACCAAGCAATTATAGTCTCTGTCCCCCACCGTCGGCACCACCCTCTCGGTCGCTTTGCTTCCGCAGTTCGCAGGCCTGCGTCACGCACACCCACAGCACATAAGGCGTCCGAAGCAAAGGCTTCTTCTGTGTCCTGAAGGGGGAAAGTGAATATGGCCGAAGGTAGTCTAGAAATTCCATTCAGGCGCCTAGATTGCCCGGCCTTTTGTCACAACTGGCCTCGAGGGGAACTCCAGTGCCGAGATGGGCTAATTTTCCTCAAATTCCCTCCCAGCCTGGTTATCATTCGACACCGCCCCGACAAGCGGTTTCGAGGGGCAGAGTGGGGTTTTTGTCCACACACGCCATATGGAGCTATCACATCGCAACCAGCCTCACCCATCTCGAACCCGCCTGAGGCAAGACACCTTTCCTCTTCCATATTGGACTCTTCGAAATGACTGTTTCAGTCGGGTTCTTCGTCTCTAACCAGATGGTTGGATCTATTTGCACTCAAAAGCAATAGAACTGCTAGTTGCATTTCTGGCGGCTGTTTAGAGGGAAAACGGCATTTGTAACTAATACCACCTGCAGTATTGTAATGTCTGTATATGCATGTATGCATATTTATATTTTTATTTATTTATTTCTGATTAAATGATGATTGACCGTGTTTATTGTCACTCTTCCCTTGCAGCCTCACCTCATTTTAGCTTCATCTCTTCAGGCCAGTCGTGTAAGGCAAGTCTCGACTCGGCCGAGACCTCTTCAGCCGATTTAACACTGATGATGATGATGATGATGATGTTGACGTCGACTGGACACACTTCTTCGCCAGCCGCCGCCAAATCCAGGACGCCTGCAATCCCACTGGCGTCAGATGTGACTGGCAGAACTGAGCCGTCACGGCAGAACACGACTGCATGTTCGACGACTGAGGCGAACTCGATACCGGCTGCTCCACGGGGCCGTATCGGAGCCCAGTATGTGGCCGGTCTTCGTCATGCCCTTCCACGCCTTCTGTTGTGCGGTAAGACCTCAGCTTCAACGCCCAGTTTCCGAGGCAAGAAGTCATCCCCTCCGGTCGGCGACACTACAAGGACCACGCCTCTGGTCGCCCCGGTGCTCTTCACTCTTCCTTCCCGGTCTGGCATACATCATCCACAGGAAGCCGAAAAAGCTCAACATTTATCACCTCTTTCCTCTTATGAAAAGAACCTTCTTCCCGTTCTTGAGCCCATCGAGCATGACACTTCATCTTCCGAGGGTCAGCTGCCTCTTCAAACCGCACTGGAAGGCAGACGTTTCGACACAACAGAGTCTAATTTGGTACGGACAGTGTCCGAGCAGCATCCATTTTGTTCTTCGGTGAGTTACAACTACTCCTCAGACTGCTGATTATAGCTTCATTAACTCATCAAATTTCTGAGAATTGGAAGAATCTCAATTCCAATCAGTGACGTCTTGCTGCCAGCTGTGTTGGCTATATTTCAGATTAATCAAACTTTGTGTCTTAGAATAAAAACTACATTTATTCTATTTCATTCAAGGCGATAAAAAACTGGTGGTTGAATTTTCCCATGTTTCCGTTGAATTTTGCATAGCTTTGCTTCCCCAAAGCTATTCTCATCTAGACACTACTGGACTGCAAGTTCAACGCCGCTTCAACTGGCCTCATCAGCACCCCCCAACGGGACTCGAATCCGGGTTGTTGTAGCACAGCGCATAGTCTTAACACATTAACCGCTACGCCACACTGGCACGAGTGTTCTTGGTTCATAGAGTAAAATAGAATCTCAAGGAAGGCCAGGTCCTTGTCATAGCATTTTCTGTGATGGAATCGTTTCTTTTAGTTTATAAGTTGGTTTCGAAATTTCCGTACAGCCTGAATGAGAATATATTTTGGGAATCATGGCTGTGTGAAATGAAAATAGAGATACCAGTTCTATTTATATGCTCGTTGGAAAATTTAACTATAAGTTATGAAGAAAAACTGCCACAATATTTAACTATAAGTCCCTTATCATCTCAAACCAAATAGAGTTGAGAGAGTTTTTATTTAAGATCTACAGATAGTCTCGAAATAAGTGAATTCGTAGATATCGTAGACTTATGAATACCGAGCTATTTTGGCCGTATGTTTGCTTTCAGGATCATTTTGGTGTACTCTCATCGATAGACCAGGCTTATACTGTTCATTCGTGTTGCCAGGGTGGTTTCAATCAAAGTGACTCTTACTCTGCCTTTGTTATCCTGTCCTCCTACAGCCTCGGATTGTAGACTAGTTATCTTTACAGACATTGGGTGGTGATTATAAATGCTCCCAAAAGGTGTTGCTCCCTTAAGGACAAAATGGAAAAGTGAGGTGGAAATTATCCAGAAAATTTTGGCAGATAAGAGCCTACGAAGATGGCCTTATAGTTCTATGAATTGACAAAGGATGCAAAATTTGGAGGAAATGGCGACTATACACGAGGTCAAAAAAGTTAAGGATTACACAAAGAAGCCCAAGGAGGTGCCTCGGGATATGATGAAAGAAACTTTTTCACTCAATCTTGTTTTCGATAAATTCTTTATTCACGAATGCCTACCGATAGTCCAGAGAAAAGCAAAGCAATGAGAAGAAGATACGTTATGGAGGCTGATTGTCAACAATAAGCCCGAAGTAACACACAAACAGGCTAAATTTATATCACTTTGGCTAAAGAAGGTTTATGATACATTATCGAATACTCAAATGATCAAATGCATGAGGCTTGAAGGAACAGACATTTTTGCAAGCTTTAATGTAAATTAAAAGCATTGAAAAATCGTAAGAGACAAGGTGTTTACGTCCCCGTTTGGGATCGTTGAAAGGAGAAGGAGGAGCTGATCAACTGGGAACGATCTGACGCTAAGGAAGACCTAGTTCTCCTTCCACGACCGCATTTATGAGTAGATATTTGGTCTGTTATAGGCTCTCCACCGGCCACTTGTCTGGTCTACATGGCTACATGAACAGGTTGAAGGCAGTACTCGAAATGCCGCACTTTTATCACAATGGTTCATGCAAGATTTGGATGGCTACTTCACAGTTTGGTTGCTTGGGCGAGAAAATATCGAGACTTTATCAATGGCTTCGAGTTGGATCGAGGAAAAAGGGCAAGTTACCATGGAAGTGGAGGAGACCGCGATACCATCGTAACTGTGTGGGGAGGCAATTAGTGCAGAACGAAATCTCAGTCTGGAACAATTCTCAATTTTCAGTCTCATCAAGATGAAGATCAGGACGGCTAGGAGTATGATTATAGAACGCTAAAAAATAACTGATGTAGAAATATGAAAAGATGAAGGGGAAAAGTTAACTCGGCGGCTTCTCGGGAAGGTATGCAACGAAACTAACGGATTGTGCCAAGCGAATGACACTTTAAGTGGCACACTTTTGGGGGATATTAGAACAAATTGAAATCCCATATAAGATGGGATCGAGGGGTGGGGATACAGTCTAGGTGACAGGACAGGCACTGAGACAGGCGAAAAAAGAAATGTCACAACCACCATCATCTGACCGGTTGTTGCTCGTTGCTAAGGCAG